AGGCTCCAGCAGGTGTTGGGCTCGTGACGCGCCAACGCCTAACGCTCTGAAAAGGATCAGCGTTAGGATCTGAAAGTTGGGGATGACAAAGCCAACAGAGTTAGCCTCGTCACGAGCCATCTCGAATCGAGCTAACACTGAGTCGATTCGCTCGCCCCTTTCGACGCGAAAATCGATAAGGGCAGTGCCAGAGTTGAGCTGGCGCTCATCTTCCAGATTTTCAAATTTGGTGCTCAGTAGGTACAGTATATATGTAACTGCATCCGTTGGCTGTCCATTGACAGTTACACCATAGTTGATGATCTGGGAGGGGACCTGCATGGCGATACGACGAGCAAGACCTTGAAGGCCTCGTTGTAGTGCTGCAGCTTGTTGAGGGGGCGTCATATTGCCGCTCGTTACGTTTATCCATGCATGTACTTCGCGAACGTATTCGCGAAAAGGCGTAGTACCGGCAGGGTCCCACGAAGGGCCGGTAGTACGCGTGTCGTCCATCCCCTGCCGCATGTATCCCACAGCACATCCCATTATTACCCACAGAATGCCGAAGATAGTTATCTTAATCCAGTGCATGTGCATTTCGGCTTCGGTGATTGGTTTAGGCTGTGGTTTGTCAGGCTCTGGCGTAGTAGCCGTGAGGCGCCTGACTGGCACGGGATGCAGGTGGCCCCGCTGCGGGTAGCCCCGCAGGGTGACCACGTTCTCGATCGAGTTGCCGATTGGCATCTGGTGGAAGTCGAGAGTGAAGTAGCGCAGTGAAGTAGGAGAGAGCGTCTCGAGTTCGCGGGTTGCCCCGCTAGCTCGATCGCGGACTGGCTCCGCTCCTCGCAGAGCCGGCGCAACATGGTATTCCACCGTAGTAGTAGTCCACCAAGTTGTGCCGTGGATTACAGGAATCAGAGCGAGAGCCAGCCACACGAGAGTGTAGCCAGCTCCGCTACCAAGTCGAAAACGCACTGGTAAGCTTAGGTATATATTACGCCTTAGGCGTTCCCATATCCCAGGCTTTGGCTCATATCGCATGAGCAAGAGAGCAAGACGAAGCATGGGATCTGGAGTAAAGGATAGGATGGGCATCGTCAATGGAAAAGGTATTTTCCGATCTCAGATACAAGTCGTGCGCCTCGGTGAGGCACAATCACATATTTGGCCGGGCCCGGCTTGAGCCAGGCACGGCAGCGGTACATGCTCGATTTATACCTCGCCTTTAACCTTCTCCGTTTAAAGTCAGCCTCCCGGTCCGACGAGGGACTGCGCGGGTCATCTTGCCCCCACTGATTTCCCACACGGCACATCATGTTCCAACGCGAGGACAATGTTGAAGGGAGGCGAGGTCGAAGGACTATGGAATGAAATTCCGTCCAACTGTCTTATGATTGTTGCTCCTCTGAAAACAAATCTGGAATCGGCGTTCCAGCCGCCAACACCCGAAAACGACGGACGGTATCCGAAGCCGAACAAGTATAATAAATGAGAAATGTCGAGGATTATATGATCTGAGGGTGAGTCTGCGGAGGGTTTCGGTAGAGACCAATAGGCGAGTCACAAGCCTGCGTTGCCGCTGAGCCATGCTCCTCGCCTTGATGGCTCTTTTCTCCTCGTCCATATTGAGCCACATTGGGGACGCGCGAACGTTCCCCAAGCTGAAGGACTGCTGCACACATCGTATGCTGATGTGCATCAAAACTTCGGACAGTCTGATCGCGTGCTGATACGCGGGCACAGCGGCGGACAGTCTGATCACATGCTAATTCGCGGGCACAGCGGCGGATCGCCTGATCGCACACTGATACGCGGGCAAAGCGGAGGACCACCTGATCGCATGCTGATTTGCGGGCAAAATGGCGGTCGGCCTGATCGCATGCTGATGTGCGGGCAAAACGGCGGTCCCGCATTTCACGCCCATCCGCGCGCGCACCCCAATGCTATGCACTTCTGCAAGACAAGCACGCGCAACCACTCCCGAACAACAGATGGTGCTGATGCTAAGGCTACACTGGCTGATTCACATATTTGGAGGCTCCCCCACACGCGGAGGGGGGGGGATAGAGAGAGAGGGAGGAAGGGAGGAGGAGGGCGGGGAAGGGGGAGGAGAGAGGGAGGCGGAACGCTAGGTGCGCTCGCGCCAAGTCTGACATCATACCCCTCTCACCCATCCTGTCCTATGAGCCGGATGCCTGGGGAGAGGGACGCCTCCGCGATGGGGGCTTCGGCTTTTGTTTTGGAAGCCAACACGGTTGGGCCAAAGACCCAAGCCGGGGGGGAGGGGGGAGGTGGCGAGGAGGGGGACATCTCCGCGCACGGCTTCGGTTTTTATTTTGGATTGCGAAGCCGCTGAAGCATCAGGCCTGTCAGCGAAGGGCGACGCTCAGCTGGCAGAACATCAGCTCTCACTAGACAGGTCTGCACGGGCGCCAAAGCAAGGGGTTCCACGGAGGGAGGGGGGGGGAGGGAGGGGGAAGGGCGGCGAAGGGGGGGAGGAGGCAAGCTAGGTGCGATCGCGCCATTTCTGACATCCTACCCCTCCCACGCATCCACTCCCATTGCGCTGATGTGTTCTCCATCCACGGATGCGTGTCATAGCGGACCTGGGAACTCCCCAAAAGACCCCACTGTGGTAAGTGCAATCGGAAAACGGGAGCTGCGTACATAGGAGGATGGAGGAGGAGGAAGAAGAAGAGGAGGACGACAACGGGGGTGGGAGATGACGAGGAGGGAAAGAGGAGGATGAGGGGGGGGGAGGATTGGGAGGCTCGATGTGTTCTTGCGTAATTGTCGGTCCTGGTAGGCCCATGTTGGGACCCCGAACCAGCAGGAATCACTCCAGGTTCAGGGACCAATCTTGAGTGGATTCAATATGAAAAATCAAATAATAAAGGGAAATTAGGACACACAAATAAATACACACAAATAAAAATAGTCCCCATATTTTCCCATATTTTCTGGGTTTTTGTCTTCCCCCCCAATTCCCATATTTTCCCATATTTTCCTGGGAATCGAAGATTAATTGTGTCTGTGTGTTTTTTTCCCTCCTGAAATGAACATAACACTTAGTGCGGGAAGGCGGGTCGATGATCCAAGATCCGCCGCCCCCGTTCAAACCTCCACGTATGACCATGACCCTTGAACCCTGACATCCCCCCCCCACCTGGCTCGACTCGACATCGCCATAGCCTCCACGTCTGGCATCCCAGCTCCCTGGACGTTTCCCCCGCCATCCCTTTCCCCCTCCCCCTCCTCCTTGGAGACCCGAAACGGTGCGGCGACACACACGCTGCGGTGACCTCGAAATCCCCCAGGACCTCACCGCACGGTCCGCCACCGCACGGTCTTGGGACCCTGGAGGCCCCTGTTGCCCGATACATCCTCGGAGAACGACCCGAGTTAGGAAGGCACCAACTATACACCAACACCGATCCTGGCCAGGATCACCCTGGGCCCAGGATCGGTGTATACGCCCTCCTGCCTTGCGCAAGAAGGCATATACACCGATCCTGGGCCCAGGGTGATCCTGGGCCAGGATCGGTGTTGGTGTATAGTTGGTGCCCTCCGATGGAGGCCCCTGTTGCCCGACACGTCCTCGGAGAACGGCCCGAGTCCCCAAAGCCGTGCGGTGGCCCCGAAGCCCCGCCGACAACCCCGCACGGGTGTGGCCACCACACCGTTTCTGGGGGCCCCCGCTTCTCCGCCTCCGCTCGGAGCTCCGCCGGCTATAATAAGGCCCAACTCCAGATCACCCCTCCTCCTCCCCCTCCTCCCCCTCCTCCCTCCTCCTCCCTCCTCCTCCTCCTCCTCCTCCTCCTCCTCCTCCTCCTTCCCCGAGAGCCCCAAGAAAGGCCAAGAGGCCCCCAAGAGGCCCCCAAGATGGTACACGAGGGGTCCGACATGCCACAAGATCGCTCCAAGACGCCCAAGATAGCCCCCAGACGCCCCAAGAGGCCTCCAAGAGCACTCCCAAGAGGGCCCCCGGAGGCAAAATTCATTGTTTTTCCTTAGGTTTTTGAGAGATTTTGGAGCTTCCACCTTTTCGGTTCCCGACGCCCCAAGACGGCCCCAGAGGCCCCCAAGATCGCCCCAAGAGGGCCCAAGAGGCCCCCAAGAGGGCCCCAAGATGGCCCAAGAGGGCTCGAAGACGGCCCAAGAAGCCTCCAAGACGGTCCAAGAGGGCCCCAAGAACACCCCCAAAGGGGCCCCAGAGAGGGAACACGAAACAAAATTTCGCGCCCTCGGCCCTAAGAAGCCCCTACGAGGCCCCAAGAGGCCCCTAAGAGGCCCCAAGAGGCCCCCACGAGGCCCTCAGGAGGCCCCCAAGAGTCCCCCAAGCGGCCCCAGGAGGCCCCCCAAATGCCCCCCCGAGCGCCCCAGGAGTCCCCCAAGCGGCCCCAGGAACCCCCAAAGCGCCGCATTGACACCAGGCCCTCGGGCAAACGGCAGACATGAGACGTATGGGCCGGCGGAATGAGCGAAGCGATTCAATAAGGGCTCCAGAACTCCTCACACCCCTCCTCCTCCCCCTCCTCCTCTCCCCCTCCTCCTCCTCCTCCTCCTCCTCCTCCTCCTCCTCCTCCTCCTCCTCCTCCTCCTCCCTCCTCCCGCCTCCCTCCTCCCTCCCAGACGAGAAGTTTTAGACCCCCCCCCGTGGGAGAGCCCTCCAAAACATCGTCCCCAGACCCCCCCCAGGCCCTCCAAGATAGCCTGGAAGAGACCCCCCCCGAAATGAGACCCCCCTCCCTTTATTACGAAATCTGGAATAATTGCCACGTGGGCGAGAACCGCTCGGCCAACAGCGGGGCTACGACGGGCTGCGACGCAAGCCGGTACGAGCGATTACCACACGCCACAGAAACGCAAAGTGACAGGCACACAACGTGGCGCTACGTTCCGACCCAGTCGGCCAGGCGCGGAAAGCCCCGAGGAGCACGACGACCACGACAACCGAGGACGACAGAGGGCGACAGAGACGACGACCACGACGACAACGCTGCCGCTGGGGCTCGCGCCGAATAACCCTTCGACTGGCGCATCTGCATGCTCCTCATGCGCTCCATCTTCCACCTGGGAGGCAGGACGATAATGAGCTCGGATGAGGATAGATCGGGCACCCCTGGGATTACGTCGGGCCTGTCCCCCTACAAGGGGGATTGTCGATGAAAAAAAGAAATACCCCAAAAATAATTATCCCAGTGCGACCCTACCTAGGAGTTGGACCCCCTAAGAAAGCAGCATTAGTAGTAGCAGTAACGCTAAGCTAAAGCTAAGCTAAAGCTAAGTCACAGCTAAGCTACAGCTAAGCTAAAGCTAAAGCTAAGCTAAAGCTAAGCTAAAGCTAAGCTAAAGCTAAGCTAGCTAAGCTAAAGCTAGCTAAGCTGAGCTAAACAGCTAAGCTAAAGCTAAGCTAAAGCTAAGCTAAGCTAAGCTAAAGCTAAGCTAAAGCTAAGCTAAAGCTAAGCTAAAGCTAAGCTAAAGCTAAGCTAAAGCTAAGCTAAAGCTAAGCTAAAGCTAAGCTACTAAGCTAAGCTACAGCTAAGCTAAAGCTAAGCTAAAGCTGAGCTAAAACTAAGCTAAAGCTAAGCTAAACGCTAAGCGAAAAGCTAAGCGAAACGCTAAGCTAAAGCTAAGCTACAGCTAAGCTAAAGCTAAGCTAAAGCTAAGCTAAAGCTAAAGCTAAAGCTAAAGCTCCCAGGGGACTGGGGGGGACCGCTCCCAGGGGACTGGGGGAACCGCCCGGGGCGTGTAGCACTGCCCGGCCCCTTTGAGCTAAGAGAGTAAGAACCCTTCTAGGCAGAGCCTAGGTAGGGAATCAAAGAATAGTCCAAAAATAGTCTGGGGACTATGTTTTGAATATGTTTTAACATTTTGCAATATTTGGGGTGTATTTGTCCCAACCATCCTGTGGTGTTGGGTCCTCGTTTTGAAGAGACGGTGCCCAGCGTCTCCTTCCTTCCTCCCGCTGCCCCCTCCTCCCCTTCCTCCCCCCTCCTCCCCCTCCCACACCCATTCTGGCACACCCCTCACACGCTTCGTGGCCCCATAGGGAGCTCCACCGAAGGCCCCAGTGGCTGCGCCCGCATGCGGTTCCACCCCCCATTCTGGCACACCCCTCACACGTTTCGTGGCCCCATAGGGAGCTCCACCGAAGGCCCCAGTGGCTGCGCCCGCATGCGGTTCCACCCCCCATTCTGGCACACCCCTCACACGTTTCGTGGCCCCATAGGGAGCTCCACCGAAGGCCCCAGTGGCTGCGCCCGCATGCGGTTCCACCCCCCATTCTGGCACACCCCTCACACGTTTCGTGGCCCCATAGGGAGCTCCACCGAAGGCCCCAGTGGCTGCGCCCGCATGCGGTTCCACCCCCCATTCTGGCACACCCCTCACACGTTTCGTGGCCCCATAGGGAGCTCCACCGAAGGCCCCAGTGGCTGCGCCCGCATGCGGTTCCACCCCCCATTCTGGCACACCCCTCACACGTTTCGTGGCCCCATAGGGAGCTCCACCGAAGGCCCCAGTGGCTGCGCCCGCATGCGGTTCCACCCCCCATTCTGGCACACCCCTCACACGTTTCGTGGCCCCATAGGGAGCTCCACCGAAGGCCCCAGTGGCTGCGCCCGCATGCGGTTCCACCCCCCATTCTGGCACACCCCTCACACGTTTCGTGGCCCCATAGGGAGCTCCACCGAAGGCCCCAGTGGCTGCGCCCGCATGCGGTTCCACCCCCCATTCTGGCACACCCCTCACACGTTTCGTGGCCCCATAGGGAGCTCCACCGAAGGCCCAGTGGCTGCGCCCGCATGCGGTCTGGCACACCCCCCACACGTTTCGTGGCCCCATTCTGCGCCCGCACACCCCTCACACGTTTCGTGGCCCCATAGGGAGCTCCACCGAAGGCCCCAGTGGCTGCGCCCGCATGCGGTTCCACCCCCATTCTGGCACACCCCTCACACGTTTCGTGGCCCCATAGGGAGCTCCACCGAAGGCCCCAGTGGCTGCGCCCGCATGCGGTTCCACCCCCCATTCTGGCACACCCCTCACACGTTTCGTGGCCCCATAGGGAGCTCCACCGAAGGCCCCAGTGGCTGCGCCCGCATGCGGTTCCACCCCCCATTCTGGCACACCCCTCACACGTTTCGTGGTGGCCCCAGCTAGCGAGCTCCAAAGGCCCCAGTGGCTGCGCCCGCATGCGGTTCCACCCCCCATTCTGGCACACCCCTCACACGTTTCGTGGCCCCATAGGGAGCTCCACCGAAGGCCCCAGCAGGCTGGGCTGAGCCCGCTGCGCCGCATGCGGTTCCACCCCCCATTTCGGCACACCCCTCACACGCTTCGTGGGTGGCCTCCATGGGGAGCTCCACCGAACGCCCCAGTGGCTGCGCTCGCATGTGGTTCCCCCCCCCATTTCGGCACACCCCTCACACGGTTCGTGGCCCCATAGAGAGCTCCACCGAAGGCCCCAGTGGCTGCGCTCGCATGCGGTTCCACCCCCTTTTTTCGGCACGCCCTTCACACGTCTCGTGGCCCCATAGGGAGCTCCACCGAACGCCGCAGTGGCTGCGCTCGCATGCGGTTCCACCCCCCATTTCGGCACACCCCTCACACGCTTCGTGGCTCCATAGGGAGCTCCACCGAAGGCCCCAGTGGCTGCGCCCGCATGCGGTTCCACACCCCATTCTGGCACACCCCTCGCACGTTTCGTGGCCCCATAGGGGGCTCCACCAAAGGTCCCAGTGGCACTGCCCGCTTGCGTCCGCCACCACCCAGCACAGCCCTTGTTCCCTGCGCTTCACCCACCCAGAACAGCGCTTCGTAGCCCTATAGGGAGCTCCACCAAAGGTCCCAGCGGCACCGCCCGCATGCGTCCGCCACCACCCTGCGCAGCCCTTGCTCCCTGCCTGCGTTTCACCCACCCAGTACAGCGTTTCGTGGCCCCATAGGGAGCTCCACCGAAGGTCCCAGTGGCACCGCTCGCATGCGTCCGCCACCACGCAGCACAGCCCTTGCTGACCGCGTCTCACCCACCCAGTACAGCGTTTCGTGGCCCCATAGGGAGCTCCACCGAAGGTCCCAGTGGCACCGCCCGCATGCGTCCGCCACCACCCAGCACAATTGCGGCATTCACAACTGCATATGGTTGGGTCCTTCGCCAGGCTAATTTTTTTGTTCGTCGAAAATCCCGCTGTAGGGAAACAAGCCCGACCTAACCCTGGGAGCTGGCAGGTCCGGAGGGGCGCACGGGAGGGGGGAGGGGACACGAGGCGGGCTCCTCCCACCAATCCCTACCACCAACGGCGCTCCATCTCCCTCCGCCACGCGGGAGGGCCAGGGAGGCAGACAGAAGCGGAAGGGAGCGAGAGAGGCGGAGGAAGAGGCGATGAGGGAGCGAGGAGGACGTGGCCGTGGTGGTGATGCGAGGGAGGGCGAGAGGGAGAGGGGGGGGGGGGACACGGGCCGCACGAGGGGAGCGGAGAGCGGGGGAGCAGGGGATGGAAGGAGGGAGCTCGGCCGTGGAAGCCGTGATCCAGGTTGGGGCTAGAACCGAACGGAGGGGAGAGGAGGAAAGATGGGAGGGGGACAGCTCGGGATGACTCCGCAGGAGGGGGGGGCGGAGCCTGGCTCCGCCCCCTGGAGTACACCCTGCGAAATGCTTAAGAAATCATGGGTTAAGAAATTCTTAGTCTCAGAGCTTGAATAAAAACCCAATATATCCTTCAAAATCTTATGATTTACATTGAAACGTTAAGAATAATCGAGACTCTGGCCGAAAACTTAAGTTTTCTTAAGCATCGCCTAAGGTGTACGGGGCGGACTGGCGAGGGGGGAACGGGGACACAAGGGCGGAGGGAGGAGTGGAGCGGCGGAGGGAGACGGGGGGCGGGGGGATTGGGGGAGGTGGGGGAGATCGTGGAAGGTAGCGGGAGAGGGGGAGGTGAGAGGAGGAGGAGGAGGAGGAGGAGGAGGAGAAGAGGAGAGGAGGAGCAGGAGGAGGAGAGAAGGGAGGAGGAGGAGGAGAGGAGGAGGAGGTGGAGGAGGAGGAGGAGGAGGAGGAGGGGGAGGGAGAGGGGGGAACGCGCCGAGGGGCGGGGCAGAGGGGGGGGGGGGGGGGGGGGGGGAACGCGCAGAGGGACAGATGGGGACGGAAGAGGGCAGCTCACGGGAGCTGACAGAGGGGGCGCGGCGTCCCTCGGCGGGCCCGCCCCGAGGCTGCGAGGGCCCCGGGCCCACCACCCCCCGCCGGGCCTGCCCGCAGCATATGGCCCTGCACGGGCCACAGCTTCAAAGGGGGGGGGGCCTGTGAGACTCTGAGAGGCCAGGGATGGATATGGGACGCACATGGACATACTAATACTATATGTCCTCCTTGGAGGCGCGCGTCCGACCCGAACATATAGTATACCCATCTTGTAGTATATCGTTTCCCGAGCGGTGTGGCCAGAAAGCGCCCGCCACGACGCATATACTATAAGATTTCTCGGTGCGCGCGTCGCCCCTGGGGGGGCGACGCACATCATATAGTATAAGTATGTTGGGGTGTTGCCGAGGATAGACCTCCCTTTAGCAAAACGTGGTTGAGCGAAAGCGACCTCGGGCTCTCAAACCCGGCGGGCGCAAGCCTGGAAAACGACGGCCGCGGCGCCCTCTCGAGAACCGAACACCGACAGTTCACTCATCGACGCGTCAGGGCAGGAGCAGGTCTGTCCACCCCCGAAGGAGGGGGGACCTCTGACCGACCTCCGAGCTTGTGCTTCCGGTCGAGGTCGTCGGACGCACCGCTGTCGGGGGGGAGCCATGGGAACTGGGGGGGGGGGGGCCGGGCGCCGGAGGCTGCGTCTGCCCCGATCGCTACGCGCCTGGGGTGCCGCCCTTCCCCGACTCCGGATCCACGGCACTTTTCTGGCTACCTGCCAGACCACCCCAGCCCAACCCGAAGACCCGAATTTCGGGTTGGGGGGGGTGTGGGCTCCATACGTGCTTTTGTCGATGTTCCCGGACCCCCCCCCCACTAGAAATCGAGGGCAAATCTGACCCTTCGGGCTGGGTCGGGGTGGTTTGGCGG